ATATGCTGCTACCTATATATATATCAAACAGTCTTGGAAATACTAAAAAGGTTATTTGTTGCTGTAAGCGTGGGCTTTGGTTTATCATTGTATGTAGTACAGGTGAGACTATGAAACTATGATTGCCGATTGCTTCCAGTTTGCTTTCTTTCATTAAAAAAAAAAAACCAGATTTTTAAAAAATGAAACAAAAATGCGTGGTAGTCTAACATTAGGTTAATTCTTTGTTTTTAATACAAATTGCACTACCATTTCCACTAAGTAGTGAAATCAAAATGTGTCTTGAAAATGACACTAAATTAATAACGATATTCTAGAAACTCAAAGTTCACACGCATTCAGAATAAAAAGAAAAATCATTGTAAATTTTACAACCAGATATTCCGAACTTAAAATCTACTGTGCACGATCATCCCAAAACTATAGAGGGCCTATAATACTACAGTATTTGCTAAGTGTTGCGAACATGCCCTAACCATCTCTTCTAATCAAAAAGTATGGAATAAGATGATATACATTTTGTGTGGGTTTGGCCTAAATTACTTTATTACACGTTGTAAATGCATGTTGCTACAGACCTAAAAATAGTCTCATTTTCAACAACCAAATTCACTGTTGTATAAACTTTCGGTGTAAAAAAAAAGAAATTTGAATTATTTTTTTACGTGTTACACCCCATTCTGAAAGACAGTCTGTTATTAAAGCTTAGTTATTGACACCTTGCTCTGACTTCTTTTTAGGAGTTTCGAACATCGAGAACAACATGTTTGCTTATAAGTAATTTATTTTTTATGCTTTATTTAAAATTGTATTATTGTCAATTCCTAAAGCTTTGTCTATGCTATCAAATTTTATGTGACACAAAAAAATGTGATGTGCCCATTTATGAGACGAGACGTCATATCACATATTATGAAATTGTATCAAAAAAATTTGAATGTGTTCAACTCTTATGTTCCATCACATTTTATGTGACGAATTTTTGATAAAGTTTGATAGTGTAGACAAAGCTTTAGATTGGATTGTCAGACCCGTGAGCTATAGATTGGGTTTACTTTTGAATTTTCTTGCCATCTTTTAAATTGATTTTGTTGTATATTTTAATTTTTATGGCTGAATAAAATGAATGAATGAGCGAATGAGTGAGTGAGTGAGTAAATGAGTGAATGAATGAAAGGCACAATATTCTTCTAAAATATTATTTGCTTCTAATACTGTAATCACAAATATTTGTGTAATTCAAAATCAGTCGCCGCTGGTGAGTCTATCTTGATTAGGTGAAATGAAATAAATGCTGAAGATGAAGAGATAAAAACTGGACAAAATGCAAATATTTAAATTCCAATTGCTTGGGCCACAGCCTATCAGCAGTGGTTGGATTTCCGGAGGGGAGGCATGGGCCCTATGTTTAAGACTTCCGACAATTATTGTTCTATTTTTGTTCAGGCCTTGTTCCGAGACAAGAGTTTCCGACTAAAATGCTCAACATATCTATATGTTTCTTTGATATTAATAACAGAAAAATGGTTTTACAGTATACATAATATATTGCTATCAGTAGTTATTGAAATATAAGTCTATCTGGTCAATATCTTGAATAGACAATAGGCTGCAGACCAATTAGTTAGCCGACTACCGTACTGTTTTATGATGTTTTTTGTATCAGTTTGGAACCATTCATGTTATCAAATAGTTTAAATCTAGGCCTTAGGGGATATTATGGGGAGGCATTGTTTAATTTCTATGCTCCAAATTTAATTCTAGTCATTTTATTTAAAAGTCCTTTGTTAGAACCCTTTCACTCTTAGATAACCGTTGGCAGTTAGTACTTTTCTTACAATAATATTCTCTAAATGTTTTTTTCAAACAATCCACTTTAATAATTTTAAAAAATATCGCAAATTATACACAAACACATAAACGCTTATCTGCATCGATATAGACACTGACTGTACTGGAAGAAGTTTCAAAGTGCTGATTCAATTTTACATATTACTTCTTGTCGAGCACAGATGTTGTTTGATTGTCGTTTATTTTTTGGAGAGAGTGGTTCTAAAAATTCACTGTCCGATAAACTCTCATTACTATCAAAACTATCGACTTGTTGGAGATTGTCTGGAATTACTCGGTTTGTTTTGCAGTCATTTTCTGTAAGATGCGACAGCATTGGCGCAGAGTATCTGTGTTCTTGCGCAGCATTCTGCTCCTCTTGTAGCATTAGGCCTAGATTGTACATTTCATAACTTGTTACTGGACGGGGCATCTTCGGTTTCCATGGATCATTATTCCCCATAAGCGGCACCGAATGGTCAGATTTTGGCGTTGACGTCTTAACTATCGCTCTAGCTACAAATGGGGCGTTGGACATTTGGATTAGTGGAGACCGGAGACTATTAACTTGCAAAGGCACATTTCTGATAAAAAGAAAACAGAAATACAATGTTAATATAAACAAATCTTATTTTGAACAATAATTTGTACAATATTATTTACGCAATGAAATGTACTTTATCAAATACCCAGGCCCGTATCTAGGACGAGGGGTGCGGCGGCACCCCCATAAGTTCACATTTTTAAGACAATCGAGAATGTAGAATTTGTATATAGGCATATACTCCTACTATACTTTTGGCGGAGAACGAGGCTGAAGGCTTTGGAACCACTCATTAACTAAGCTTCAGTCCTACGACTTTGCCCCTAGGCACTAGGATACTGGCGATTCATACCCTTGGTTGGTCCATTTTGTCACCCCGCACCAACCCCCCACCCCCACATGGTACTCACGAATACGTCCCTGGTACCCACGTGTTATCTCTTCCTGACCTGAAAACGTTACGTTAATGTGTTTATGAAAAGTTGCAACCGACAGAATTTTTGAGAGAAATCAGAGATAGGCGTAGAGGGAAGAAAAGGCAGACAGAGACAGGCAGACACAACAGATAGCCAAGACAAACAACACAAACATATTTGAAATCACAAGATTTTGTGGGCCTTAATTTATGATAAGTCTTATAAAATTTTAATTTGTAGAAAAACATTCTTCATGAGTGAGAAATTGAGAAACGTCATACAGTATTATATTAATTATTTCTATAGAATTCAGGGTTTTAATTCATTCTAACTATTAGCAATGAACATTAATTCAGACTTGGTTAGTGTAAAATGATATCTGAAATATGGAGGTTATAAATATGATGCGAGTTAATTAAAGTATACGTGACGTCATAGGAATGATACTGTCAGGTAAGAAGATAGGAAGTCAAATGATTTCAAGTATGGTGTAAGAAAGTAGATGGAAACTGTGAGTAAGAGTAAAGATACTGACAAGAAGTTCTGTGACAGTTGGTTATGGTTCAAAGTTCACCTTTCAGGCGCATCCATTCTTATTCGAATCTCCTTTATAGACATGCAATCATCCTCTGACGATCCGATTCTCTCACCGTCAGATATAGAGGACAATTTGTCCATATTGTCACCATCTTTGTCATGAGAGTTCAAGAGACCTGGCTCGGGGACCCACGTATGGTCGGTTTTGTAACGCAGAAACTCTCGAGGCTTTTCATTATTTGCGCCTGTCATGACACGACCGTTCCGGCGAACCGAGTTATTATTTACTAACGGTTTGTCACAACTTTGCAGGCTGCGGTCGAGCGAATCCATAGGAAAATCCATGCCGGGCCTATAAATTGTTCTCTCAGCTGTCGTTTCCAAATCACGTCTTTGTGGACAGCAAGCACGATTACACGGACTAAAGAAACACGACAGGAATTGTCGATGAGAAAATATATACATGTAGGGTACGGCAATTGGAAATGATAACACAACGTGCAACGCGTACAAATCCTTAGAATTATCCACTGGTTGGCCTGTCGTATTAGAGATGATACGCAACTGTAATAAAACATAAATGAAAACCAGTTAGTTTTACCCAGAACACAAAACGTTATTATAAATTCGGGAACGTCGCACACGTTGCGAATATTGTGGTTAGGTTAAAACACAAGATAACGTTAGCACAACGTTGTGCTAACGTTATGTTATGTTTTAACCTACGTTAGCACAACGTTAGCACACCGTTATAATAATAATAACAATAAGTTACATTTATTTAGCGCATATTGCACAGTGCCTCTATGCGCTTTACATACAATTATAGAAATTATAGAAAAGATCTTGAATTTACAATATAATAGGGTGTGGTGGCAAAACAACGCTAGGTCTCAAAGGGTCAACTATCCGCCTCTGCCCTAGCGCAGTCCCGGTCCCCTACCTAGGTGGCGCGAACAAAGGAGCAGGTTTCACATTTGCCCTGCCACAGGCGACCGGGTGCTCAGAGCCTGCGACCAAGATAGCGACCCCAAGAGACAAAGCAGGCCACTCCGTTGTGAAGGAACACGATATAGCGTTACTGAGGAAAGGAACACGTTATAACGTTACTGGGCTTATAACGTTAAATTGTTAGCTGACATTCTTATTTCCGCTTTAAAATACAATCAAGTATATGATATGATAGGATATAAAAATAACGTATCAAATAGAAATGTAAGGTATTACGAAATTATTCACATAATATTCTAGACAATTTTTTTATTATTAGGCTTAACTTGAATTTCAATTACATAAAACACAGACTTCGATACTCCAACGCTATTATCATATTCTGATATAAGCTACCTCTAAATATATAAATATTACATAATGCATAATTGTACCAAATTGACGTATGGCATTATTAATAGCAAAGGTCCCTTGTTATTTTTATTTATTAGTATATTATTCTGGCGTCTGAATATCACTACAAATAAACGATTATAACTTGGGGCAGATGCTTGTTGGGGAATGGGGAAGATGTACAGTACTGAAAAAAATTAATCTTCATAATTAAAATATTATAAATAGAATATGGGACACCAATTTAATTTTGGTATGGCGCACTAAACGCAATGAAATTATCATAATTTCATTACCGAAATTTCATAGTGTTCTAATCGGCCTGTTTT